ACCACAGGCTTCGGGGGAGAGTTGTGACGATAATCTCTTTCAAGAGAGATTGAGCCTGCTCTTCCCTACATAATTACGTCAAAATACAAGATACTATATAGAAGATACGTCCACCAAGTATCGCCAAACGTTTTGCCCAGAGAGCAAATCGTACCCAGCACACCCTGACACCTGCTACAGCCACCGTAACCAGCAAACTGCTCATCCTTTGCCTGCCTGTTGCTGATTGGCTGGTGTCTCGTCGCCCCTGCCCTCCGCCACCACCACAAGTCGAAGTCTGGGCTGCAGTGCGCCAGTCTCGTCAGAATATCTCAGTGCTCCATGCAGTTGACATCTCTCGCTGGTAGACTAAGCCTTGGCTTTCGTGTACTAAGGGAGGTGGCAGCTCGAAGCCAGTATTCCAGCACTCATATTTTATTTTGCTATCACTGTAACTTACTTGTCTTAGCGTAACTATTCATTTGCCAGTGATTATTCATGTTATTTTGTTTATTGACTTGTCCTGCATATTTTTATGTAATTACCTTTATTCATGTCTTGTTTTTCTAGAGTAATTAAAATTTCACTGTTTATATACTTGTGTTTTGTGTGTCTTCCCATTACCTTACCACAGATGAAAGGACCAACTTTTCTCTTTTTTTTTTTATTATGTGACGAGGCCCTGCCCCTAGCTTTTGAAACAGCCGAACACCAACGCTTTACCATCACACTCTACTGATTTTTTGTTTTCTCCACCAAACTTGTGTATCCTTCATCGCAATCTAGTGTTCTTTATTCTACTTCTAATTGTTCCATTTTTTTGTTATACTTGCATTTATTGTTGTGTTTTGCTATAATAATTCTCTAATTATAGCAGACTTAGTATTTATATAAGCATCTACCTCAGTGTCTTAGTAAAATCTTGCTCATAAATATAATCTTACCCTGTTATTTTTTTTTTATTTAATTGTATTTTGATTTATACATCATTTATTGTAATTAATTATTGAGCTCATTTGGTTTTCTTAAGTTTATACTAATTATAGGTTCACAGCTAAGCTATATTAAATAATTTATTTTTAAGATTATTTTTATTTTATGATTATTATTTGTCTCATTATTTTTTGCTATATATTATTCTTGTCAGTCTACTGATTTTTTCTTCTCTCTTAACCTAACTTCTGTATCCTTCCTGGCTATCTACGGTCATCTTTACTCTACTTCAAATTGTTTCGATTTTTTGTGTACTTACATTTATTGTTGTGTTTTGCTACAATTATTTTCTATTTACAGAAGATTTAGTATTTAACTTGTTCCTGTAATTGCTTATCTCATTGTATCGTGACATTATTGCATCTATATGCTTACTGATATTGATCCTGATCGAAATCTTCTGTCTCATATCCACACAAATCAGCACATTGATTATCATTATTGCAGGTATTACACAGCAAATCTTGCAAAAAACAAACTCCTAAATAGCACCTGCTTATCAGTTTACAACCAAAATGTTAGGTCACTTGCTAAACATTTTGATGATATAAATGCACTACTCACAGCACTAGGTACTAAATTATCATTCATCATTTTAATAGAAACTTGGCTAAGTAAAGACTATACCCAGCTCTACAACTTAGCTGGTTATAAAGCCATTCATAACTGCAGGCCTAATAAAAAAGGAGGTGGCACAGCAATATATTACAAAGATACCTTCATCTGCAATAGTGCCATTAGTGATAGAGACGACTATTGTGAATATACCTTTGCCAAGTTCTCCAGTAAAACCTTTAAATCCTCTCTGACTATCGGTGTCATCTATAAATTTTCTAATACCAACATAGCTTCATTCTCAGACAACGTATGGAATCTTTTCATAAATAACAATCTCAACAAAAATCACATCACTCTAGGAGGTGATTTCAATATTGACCTGGGTCTTCAAAATAACCCTTAAGTTGACTATTTCCGTAACAGCATGCACTCCTGTATGCTAATCCCCACAATCACCAAGCCCACCCGAGTCACTCAAACATCTGCCACTACCCTGGATCATCTATGGACTAATATAACAGCTCCCTTTACATCTGGGGTAATCTATGATAGAACAACTGACCACTATCCTACCTTCCTCATAGCAAACATGGATACATTACCTCCAGAAAGCAAGAAACTCTCATTCAGGCTACACAGTGAATCAGCTTTAGGCAATCTCTCTAATGCACTTCACAATATTAACTGGGATCTGAATTCAATAATACACAGGATTTAAACTAATTAACTAACCTCTTTCTCTCCAAAACTCTAAGCCTCTGCAACACTCACTGTCCCCTCCTTACCAAACAAGTAACAGACAAAAGAAAAAAAACAATCCGTGGCTCACAAGTGGCATAATTAAATCAATCAACAAAAAACATGAATATGAAAAGCAATTTAGGATTGGCCTAGTTACAAAGGAAGTAGTTAAAAGGTACTCATCAGTGCTTACCAGTATCATAAGAAAAGCCAAACTTTCATATTATGAGACCAGATTCAAAGAAGCATAAGGCAATATGAAAAGCACATGGAATACCATCTCTAATATCCTAGGAACTAAACAACACTCCCACAACCAGATAACACTCTCTAAAGATGGCTTTACACCGTCAACTGATTTAGAAATGGCAAATGAATTTAATAGCTTCTTTTCATCGGTTGGTGCTAACCTTGCCAGTAAAATCCCACAGACTCAGACACATATCAACACATATCTCTCAGGCAGCTATCCAAACTCTCTTCTTCTATCACCAGTCAGCCCGAGAGATGTTGTGTCCATCATACACTCACTAAAAACCAAAGCTGGGAACATCAGTGAAATCCCATCCATTGTATACAAGAGAGCCCCCCAAGCCGTTGCGCCACCTATAGCTCTGCTGTTCAACAAATCCCTTGAGTGTCATACCTTCCCTGATATTCTTAAAAAAGCAAGAGTAACGCCAGTTCATAAAGGGGGTAATCCGGCAGACATAAACAATTATAGACCAATATCAAACCTACCCTTCCTATCAAAAATATTTGAAAAAATTATCTACAAACAGCTCTACTCCTATCTTGTAAAATTCGACATTCTTAGCCCCTGTCAGTTTGGCTTCCGCTCCCATAAGAGTACCAACGATGCAATTATTAGTCTCCTTGATATAATTTATTCAGCCCTTGACAAAAATGAGTTTCCGATTGGACTCTTCATTGACCTGAGAAAGGCCTTTGACACTGTTAATCACAATTACCTCTTACATAAACTCCATCATTTTGGAATCCGAGGCCATGCACTGGATTATATCCAATCCTATCTTAGTGATAGACACCAATGTGTAACCATCAATAATATAACCTCTCCCACTCTACCAATAACCGTTGGAGTGCCACAGGGCAGCATCTTGGGTCCTCTCCTATTTCTTATATACATCAATGATCTGCCTAATGTCTCTCTAACATTCTGAAACCTATTTTGTTTGCTAATGATACTACCCTCATCTACTCTAACCCCAACCCACATACACTAAATGATGTTGTTAATAATGAACTAAAAAAAGTCCACTTACGGATGTCATCCAATAAATTAACACTTAACATAGAAAAGACCTACTTCATCTTATTTAGAAGCAAATCTATAAATGCAATTCAGCTTCAGATAGATAATGTAAACGTTTGCAATAAAAATGATGGAAAGTTTCTCGGCCTATTCCTAGACAAGAGACTCAACTTCAGCACCCACATACAACACATAACTAAGAAAATCTCTAAAACAGTTCAGATACTCTCCAAAATCAGATATTATGTACCTAACTCTGCTCTCATCTCTCTATATTATGCACTAATCTATCCCTATCTTAATTATGGTATCTGTGCATGGGGTTCAACCACTGCAAACCACCTCAAGTCCATCATCACCCAGCAAAAATCTGCTATCAGAATAATAACAAATTCTGCTTTCAGACAACACTCAGCCCCCATGTTTAACTCCCTTAACATGCTAAACATAATCTCATTAAACAAATTTTCTTGTGTCAATTACATTTACTAAACCCTGTTCTTAAATGCAAATCCTTCTCTGAAACTCTCCCTGGACAGATGTAATAGGACCCATTATCACCACACCAGAAATTAATATCTCTTTGATATCCCCAGAGTCAAACTTAATCTGTGAAAACACTATGCAAATAAAGGGACCCAGTCTATGGAACTCACTCCCTAGTGAATTGAAAAGTTGTCCAACTTTTGCATCATTCAAAAACAAAACTAAAAAGTACCTAATCTCTTCTGCATAGTTTTTTTTACCTTGTTGCTTTAAAATTGCACTGTATCTATTGCTACCCAATCTCCCCATCTTTATGTACCCAATCCGAACATCTTTACCAATGTGATCATTACTGTCTTCTTATATGTGCTATCAATCTGCTGAACGGTGTCTGTTAATCTTGTTTAAATTACCAATCAAGTTGTCAATGTAATCAACCAGAGCTTTAATATACCAATGTGCTTTAATATACTTACTATTCTCTCTCATCTCATTTCTTTTCTTGCAATGTATCCGCTATCATTTTATTAATTCTGCTAGAATTTACCTACCTAAAATTATCTGTTAGATTAAGGACCTGCCCGAAACGCTGCGCGTAGTAGTGGCTTTACAAGATTGTAAATACTATGCTATGTATTCTCTCTAACTAAATGTACCTTCTTGTATATAAATAAATAAATAAATAAATAAATAAATAAATAAATAAATAAAATATATTATACAAATTGTTGCAATATTGACAATGATATCAGAAAACAGAGGTAATTCATGATTAATCAATTTGTGAGAAAGATAAAGAATGTTATCCACAAGATATTTAGTAGTATACTACAAAAGCTAAATTATTAATATATCCTAAAATAAGTGACAAAATGTTTGTGAGCCACTTGGAAAGTTTGTAGGTAATAAATCCCATATAAGTAATATTAAATCTCATGGAACAGTTAGAAACAGCAAAACAAATATATTTGAATTACATATTGTTTATATATAAATCAATAATATAACAATACCCTATTTGCTTAATCAACATATTTCTCTGTCAAATTACTAAAAAAAGTTATCCATATTAAAACTGAATGTGGTATAAACAGTACACGTTTTTAGTAAGCATTTATGCAGACAATTACCTACATAAGAAAACATCAACATTTATGTCAAAATATAGAAACAATATAACCAAACAAACAAGCAAATTCATCACAGGAATTTCCCTTTAACTCAGAAATAAAGAGATTGAGGAACATTTTAAGTGGTAGTTATTTTAGACTGATTGGTAGTGATCTTGTAATCACTCTTGTATATGGTTGGACGGAGTTTCCATTTGTTTTTCCTATATATTCCTATGTGTGTGTATACATCGGGCTTATAGGAGAGCTGGGATTTTATGCCAATGCTGCGAAGGCCTTTTTCCAGGCTGCACACTTGCTCTTCGTTTGTGAAATCTTTATTGTAAATACATATTACATGTTTTGGACCCTTATTAGGACTGATTTTCGCGAAATTAGATGGAAGTTGACCATCAACAATTCCCCTCGTTACCAATTTCCAAAAATAATCTCCCTTTACACCTGTGTCCACATGCAGGAGCCATTTACCGCTTGTAACATGGTACTTTTTAGCTAGCTCACGAATGGTCGGTAAGTCAATTGGTTTTCCAGACTCCTTCAGGTCTTCCCAAGCGACCAAAAGCTCGTCCACTTCTGCTTCAGGTATTTCTGAGTCGTCAACATTGTAGCCGCGGACACAAAGCCAACCAACACCATCAGCTCTGGAAATTAAAAATCATGCAGTTAGATGCATATTTCTATGCATCATTTTAACAAATATTTGTTTCTGTGTAAATATTTTGGGACTTGTGAATTGTTTAGTAAACTTTTAAAGTTTAAAAATGCATTCGAACGAAATTCAGTGCTAAGGTTCACTTACGAGATTGAGAGTAGAGGAAACTACCTTTTCTAGATGTAATAGTCTCGGAGAGAAATGGTGGCTTTAACACTGCAGTCTACACTAAGGTAGCTAACATGGGAATGTACCTCAATGCTAAAAGTGAGTGCCGTGCTAGATTCACATAGAATATTTTCAATGGCTATGTCAATCGAGCCCTCACACACACCTACAGTTGGAATCAAGTTGACGAGGAACTCTGTAAGGCAGGTTCTATCGATAATGGATGTGTCGAGAAAAACATCAAAAGGAAGGTACGCCGACATAAACCTTCAGATACAACAGACAACAGTACATCATCGGTCCACACTATTAAAATATTTTAAAGGAACTTCTACACGGCTCACAAAATTGAAGAGGGTCCTGAAAAAAACATTACTGACAGAAATGTGACGCCTACTGACACCAACCAAAAGACTGAATTAATAACTTATTATAAGAGCAAGAAGATTGCCACCTTGCTTATGAAGAACTCTCCTAACACCAGAAAAAAACCCTTGAAAGAGACAAATGTCTTCTATTCCTCCAAATGCTCACTTGGGGACTGTCAGCCTCAACGAATTTAATATATAGGCAAGAGAGCAACATCCCTTTCAAGACGCCTAGCAATGCACGAGCAGCAAGGACCTATAAAAAAAACATACAATCTCTATACTTAACCAGACCATCATCAAAGATATACTCACAAACAAAAGCAAAATAATCGAAAGATACACCAACAGCAGTCTGGCAGTGTCATGTGGCTATATATATACTATATATATATATATATATATATATATATATATATATATATATATATATATATATATATATATATATATATATATATATATATATATATATATATATATATATATATATATATATATATATATATATATATATATATATATATATATATATATATATATATATATATATATATATATATATATATATATATATATATATATATATATATATATATATAAGTATATTTTGGTAGCAGTCTTTCCTGTAGACATATATTATTAAATATGACCGAAAAAGTAAGATTAATAATTCTAACACGAATTTTCTCAATCTTTCGTACATTACGCTTCACTGTTGGAGGTAAATAAAAAATCACTTCTCCAAAATTCATTTTTATTTCTAGTCTGACGCGACACGGGCGCGTTTCGTAAAACTTATTACATTTTCAAAGACTTCACAAATACACAACTGATTAGAACTTACGTCTCTCTGATATTATATCTACATTTGAGTGAGGTGGGAAGGGTGATGTGGCATTAACACAAGACAGAACAGGGGGGGATATTAATAGGGTATTAAAAGTATCAACACAAGACAGAACAGAAACAATGGGTATTGAATAGAAGTGTTTGTAGAAAGCCTATTGGTCCATATTTCTTGATGCTTCTATATTGGAGCGGAGTCTTGAGGTGGGTAGAATATAGTTGTGCAATAATTGGCTGTTGATTGCTGGTGTTGACTTCTTGATGTGTAGTGCCTCGCAAACGTCAAGCCGCCTGCTATCGCTGTATCTATCGATGATTTCTGTGTTGTTTACTAGGATTTCTCTGGCGATGGTTTGGTTATGGGAAGAGATTATATGTTCCTTAATGGAGCCCTGTTGCTTATGCATCGTTAAACGCCTAGAAAGAGATGTTGTTGTCTTGCCTATATACTGGGTTTTTTGGAGCTTACAGTCCCCAAGTGGGCATTTGAAGGCATAGACGACGTTAGTCTCTTTTAAAGCGTTCTGTTTTGTGTCTGGAGAGTTTCTCATGAGTAGGCTGGCCGTTTTTCTGGTTTTATAGTAAATCGTCAGTTGTATCCTCTGATTTTTGTCTGTAGGGATAACGTTTCTATTAACAATATCTTTCAGGACCCTTTCCTCCGTTTTATGAGCTGTGGAAAAGAAGTTCCTGTAAAATAGTCTAATAGGGGGTATAGGTGTTGTGTTAGTTGTCTCTTCAGAGGTTGCATGGCTTTTCACTTTCCTTCTTATGATGTCTTCGATCATAAGAAGACATAAGACAGCCAATTATTGCACAACTATATTCTACCCACCTCAAGACTCCGCTCCAATATAGAAGCATCAAGAAATATGGACCAATAGGCTTTCTACAAACACTTCTATTCAATACCCATTGTTTCTGTTTTGTCTTGTGTTGATACTTTTAATACCCTATTAATATCCCCTCCTGTTCTGTCTTGTGTTAATGCCACATCACCCTTCCCACCTCACTCAAATGTAGATATAATATCAGAGAGACGTAAGTTCTAATCAGTTGTGTATTTGTGAAGTCTTTGAAAATGTAATAAGTTTTACGAAACGCGCCCGTGTCGCGTCAGACTAGAAATAAAAATGAATTTTGGAGAAGTGATTTTTGATTTACCTCCAACAGTGAAGCGTAATGTACGAAAGATTGAGAAAATTCGTGTTAGAATTATTAATCTTACTTTTTCGGTCATATTTAATAATATATATATATAAATATATATATATATATAAATATATATATATATATATATATATATATATATATATATATATATATATATATATATATATATATATATATATATATATATATATATATATATATATATATAAATATATATATATATGACAATGTCAGACCACGGAGGAAAATGAAACAGGAATTTCCTTAAGTACTTTCGTATATTAAATACATCTTCAGAAGGAATTCCTTCTGAAGATGTATTTAATATACGAAAGTACTTAAGGAAATTCCTGTTTCATTTTCCTCCGTGGTCTGACATTGTCACATTCTTAATCACGTGTTTATTTTCGTGATATACACACACACACACACATATATATATATATATATATATATATATATATATATATATATATATATATATATATATATATATATATATATATATATATATATATATATATGTCGTACCTAGTAGCCAGAACGCACTTCGCAGCCTACTATGCAAGGCCCGATTTGCCTAATAAGCCAAGTTTTCCTGAAATAATATATTTTCTCTAATTTTTTTCTTATGAAATGATAAAGCTACCCATTTCATTATGTATGAGGTCATTTTTTTTTATTGGAGTTAAAATTAACTTAGATATATGACCGAACCTAACCAACCCTACCTAACCTAACCTAACCTATCATTATAAGTTAGGTTAAGTTAGGTAGCCGTAAAAGTTAGGTTAGGTTAGGTAGCCGTAAAAGTTAGGTTAGGTTAGGTTAGGTAGGTTAGGTAGTCGAAAAAACATTAATTCATGAAAACTTGGCTTATTAAGCAAATCGGGCCTTGCATAGTAGGCTGAGAAGTGTGTTCTGGCTACTAGGTATGACATATATACATATATATATATACATATACATATACATTTTTTATACATAACATACATATGTATTATGTATTAATACATATATATATGTATATATATATATAAAATAATATATATATATATATATATATATATATATATATATATATATATATATATATATATATATATATATATATATATATATATATGTCATACCTAGTAGCCAGAACGCACTTCTCAGCCTACTATGCAAGGCGAGATTTGCCTAATAAGCCAAGTTTTCATGATATAATTGTTTTTCGACTACCTAACCTACCTAACCTAACCTAACCTAACTTTTTCGGTTACCTAACCAAACCTAACCTATAAAGATAGGTTAGGTTAAGTTAGGTAGGGTTGGTTAGGTTCGGTCATATATCTAGGTTAATTTTAACTCCAATAAAAAAAATTGACCTCATACATAATGAAATGGGTAGCTTTATCACTTCATACAAAAAATTAGAGAAAATATAATAATTCAGGAAAACTTGACTTATTAGGCAAATCGGGCCTTGCATAGTAGGCTGAGAAGTGCGTTCTGGCTACTAGGTACGACATATATATATATATATATATATATATATATATATATATATATATATATATATATATATATATATATATATATATATATATATATATATATATATATATATATATACATATGTCGTACCTAGTAGCCAGAACTCACTTCTGAGCCTACTATGCAAGGCCCAATTTGCCTAATAAGCCAAGTTTTCATGAATTAATTGCTTTTCGACTACCTAACCTACCTAACCTAACCTAACCTAACTTTTTCGGCTACCTAACCTAACCTAACCTATAAAGATAGGTTAGGTTAGGTTAGGTAGGGTTGGTTAGGTTCGGTCATATATCTACGTTAATTTTAACTCCAATAAAAAAAAATTGACCTCATACATAATGAAATGGGTAGCTTTATCATTTCATAAGAAAAAATTTAGAGAAAATATATTAATTCATGAAAACTTGGCTTATTAGGCAAATCGGGCCTTGCATTGTAGGCTGAAAAGTGAGTTCTGGCTACTAGGTACGACATATATATATATATATATATATATATATATATATATATATATATATATATATATATATATATATATATATATATATATATATATATATATATATATATATATATATATATATATATATATATATATATATATATATATATATATATATATATATATATATATATATATATATATATATATATATATATATATATATATATACAACGTTAGAACACTTTCCCACCAGGAGACTCGAACCCTAGCCAGCACAGAAGCCTTCCAGCAACTGGCATAACAGGTACGCCTTAACCCACTCCACCACCTGCTCAGACCCTTAAAAGAGATGGTAATTTCGGAGTATTTATACACTCCAAAGATCACCACCTCCCAAGAGAACTAGAGCAAGTGAGGGGTCATTTTTACGTTTTTTTCATCAAGTCCCTGTTAATATGGGAGAACACTGTGTCTATGCTTAAGGCACAACTCTCCTAAACACGAGAGTGAAAAGAGTGTTTAGTGTCTCCTCTCGTGTTTAGGAGAGTTGAGCCTTAAGCATAGACACAGTGTTCTCCCATATTAACAGGGACTTGATGAAAAAATGTAAAAATGACCCCTCACTTGCTCTAGTGCTCTTGGGAGGTGGTGATCTTTGGAGTGTATAAATACTCCGAAATTACCATCTCTTTTAAGGGTCTGAGCAGGTGGTGGAGTGGGTTAAGGCGTACCTGTTATGCCAGTTGCTGGATGGCTTCTGTGCTGGCTAGGGTTCGAGTCTCCTGGTGTGAAAGTGTTCTAAAGTTGTATACTTCACTCTCGTGTTTAGGAGAGTTGTGCCTTATATATATATATATATATATATTCATGATATATATATATTCATATATATATATTACATATATACAGGTATTAGAATCAATAAGGTGTTTGACGTAGTTTTGTCTTACGGGGTTTTCGAAGGAGCCCACTCTTTTAGCCAAGCAGTGAGGGACTGAGACGAGCACTTGGCATCATAAGTTATCCATTCCCCCTCATCCTGTTCTTGAGCCTCAGCAGCCAAGGTGTTGGCATCCTTGTAAGTGGCGCTCATCGTGGGTCAGTTCCTGTGTTCACCACGCCAGGATAACGTTTGGTTGTACTATTAGCTTCAGTATCAAATTCTCCCAAAAACAGAATATAGTCTGAAAGCACAAACAAATGTTAAATTTTAATAACAATTCACCCAATGAAATCTCTTTAGTAGTTTCTTGTAAACTTTTAAAACGAATTTGAACTTAAGGCTTTATATCTTTCATTTATATATATCTTCTTTAAGAGAAGGGATAGACAGAGTGCTCTGCATCTCCTTATCTCTCACATACATGTAGAAGAAACAGTTCAAGGGGGTATCGAAATCTATAGGATCCGTGATTAGGGTTTGAACCTATGAGCTGGGTGTTCCCAAGCACTCCCTAGTCGACTACGCTACGACATGGTCAAAACAGGTATGGGAACACTCAGTGCATAGGTTCAAACCCTTATCACAGCTCCTGTGGATTTATCCTTTGATATATCACGATAATGAGATTTCTCTGTGTACTTCAAGAGACATATACATTGACAGGTACTCAATACTCTGTGTTTTAGTCCTGGGCTATAGTCCTGAACTTAAGTATACTTGCTAAAACCCTGTGGTTGCCTATGTAACGCTCCAGAGATTGAGATACATTATGCTCGACACCCGAAACCATGATACACTTTCACATTTCTCTAACACTTCACGGACGCACACACACAACACACACTCACATACGCACACACACACATATGCACACACACACACACACACACACACACACACACACACACACACACACACACACACACACACACACACACACACACACACACACACACACACAGTAGGAATGGATCGCTAGTAGGAATGGTCGCTTCTCACTAGTAGGAATGGATCTGGACTACTAATCATGGGAGATTTCAACTACGGGAAGATTGATTGGGAGAACAGTGACCCGCATGGAGGACCAGATACATAGAGAGCTAAGCTGCTGGACGCGGCAACAAGAAACTTTCTTAGTCAGTATATCAAGGGACCGAAAAGAATGAGAGGGGAGGAAGAACCAGCTATGCTTGATCTGATATTTACCCCTAATGAGTGGGATATAAAGGAGGTTAAGATGGAAGCACCCTTAGGAATGAGTGATCACAGTGTATTGGTCTTTGAGTACTTGGTAGAGCAAGGACTTATCTCCCTCCAAAAAGAACTAGAAAACAAAAGACTGGCATACCGAAAGGGGAATTATGAGGGGATGAGAAGTTTCCTAAGGGATATACCATGGGACACAGACCTCAGACAGAGCTAAGTCGATACAAGTCATGATGGACTATGTCACCCAAAAGTGTCAGGAAGCAGTAAACAGGTTTATCCCAGCCCAAAGGTAAAAATCCGAGAAGCAAAAGAAGAATCCATGGTTTAACAGGGCATGCATGGAAGTAAAGGTATTGAACAAAAGGGCGTGGAGGAACTTCTGAAATACCAGAACACCAGAAAGCAGAGAGAGATACCAGAGAACCAGGAATGAGTTTGTTAGTGTGAGAAGGGAAGCAGAGAAAAATTACGAAAATAATATAGCAGGCAAAGCCAAGACCGATCCAAAGCTACTCCACAGTCACATCAGGAGGAAAACAACAGTGAAAGAACAGGTAATGATACTTAGAACAGGCAAGGACAGGTATACAGAGAATGACAAAGAGGTGTGCGAGGAACTCAACAAGAGGTTCCAGGTGGTCTTCACAATAGAACATGGTGAGGTCACTGCACTAGGAGAGGGGGCAGTAAACCAGGCGGCCTTGGAAGTGCTCAAAATTACTAGAGATGACATCAAGAGACACCTATTGGATCTGGATGTGAGAAAGGCTGTTGGTCCAGACGGGATCTCACCATGGGTATTGAAAGAGTGTGCAGAGGTACTCTGCTTGCCACTCTCCATAGTGTATAGTAGGTCACTGGAGATGGGAGACCTACCAGAAATATGGAAGGCGGCTAATGTGGTCCCAATATACAAAAAGGGTGACAGACAACAGGCACTGAACTACAGGCCAGTGTCCTTAACTTGTATACCATGCAAAGTGATGGAGAAGATCGTGAGAAAAAATCTAGTAACACTTCTGGAGAGAAGGGACTTCCTGACAAATCGCCAACATGGGTTCAGGGGGGGGGGGGGTAAATCTTGCCATACTGGCTTAATAGAATTATACGATCAGGTGACAAAGATTAAGCAAGAAAGAGAAGGCTGGGCAGACAGCATTTTTTTGGACTGTCGGAAAGTCTTTGATACAGTCCCCAATAAGAGACTGGTACATAAGCTGGAGAGACAGGCAGGAGTAACTGGTAAAGTGCTCCAGTGGATAAGGGAATACCTAAGCAATAGGAAGCAAAGAGTTACAGTGAGGGGTGAGACCTCAGATTTGCGTGAAGTCACCAGCGGAGTCCCACAGGGCTCTGTACTCGGTCCTATCCTGTTCCTGATATACGTGAACGATCTCCCTGAGGGTATAGACTCATTCTTCTCAATGTTTGCTGACGATGCCAAAATTATGAGAAGGATTAAGACAGAGGAGGACTGCTTGAGGCTACAAGAAGATCTAGACAAACTAAAGGAATGGTCGAACAAATGGTTGTTAGAGTTTAACCCAAGCAAATGTAATGTAATGAAGATAGATGTAGGGAGCAGGAGGCCAGTTACAAGGTATCATTTGGGAGATAAAATTCTACACGAGTCAGAGAGAGAAAGACCTGCAGGTTGATATCACGCCAGACCTGTCCCCTGAAGCCCATATCAAAAGGATGACATCAGCACCATATGCCAGGTTGGCTAACATAAGAACAGCATTTAGACACGTCTGCAATTAATCATTCAGAACTTTGTATACCACCTATGTCAGACCAATCCTGGAGTATGCAGCACCAGCATGGAGTCCATATCTAGTCAAGCATATGATCAAACTGGAAAAAGTTCAAAGGTTTGCCACCAGACTTGTACCCGGGCTGAGAGGTATGAGCTACGAGGAGAGACTACGGGAATTAAACCTCACGTCGCTAGAAGACAGAAGAGTTAGGGGGATATGACCACCACGTACAACATTCTCAGAGGAATTGACATTGTAGATAAAGACGGGCTATTTAACACAAGGGGCACACGCACTTGGGGACACAGGTGGAAACTGAGTGCCCAAATGAGCCACAGAGATATTAGAAAGAATTTTTTTAGTGTCAGAGTGGTTGACAAATGGAATGCATTAGGCAGTGATGTGGTGGAGGCTGACTCTATACACAGTTCCAAGTATATATATAATAGAGCCCAATAGGCTCTGGAATTTGTACACCTGTTGATTGACGGTTGAGAGGCGGGACCAAAGAGCCAGAGCTCAAACACAGCAAACACAACTAGATGAGTACACACACAGTACGTATAGGTGAGTACACACTTCACACAGGGAAATCGGTCATGAAGCCCCCGTGGGTATGAGTGATCACAGTGTACTGTTGTTTGAGTATCTGGTCGAAGAAGGGTTAATGTACTCTAGGAAGGGATCAGAAAGCAAGAGGCCGGCTTGGGAAACAGAGCTCAGAGGAAAGACGGTTCAAGATATGATGGACTACATCACACAGAAGTGTAAGGAGGCAGCAGACAAGTTCGTCCTAGTCCAAAAGAAAAAAAATGAAATGGAGATAAGAAACCCATGGTCTAATCAGAGTTGTAAGCTAGCAAAGCAGCTAAGTAAAAGGGCGTGGAGAATCTATAGAAACAACAGAACACTAGAGAGCAGGGAAAGATACTAGAGTGCCAGGAATGAATACGTCAGGGTGAGAAGAGAGGTAGAGAGGCAATATGAAAATGACATAGCGAGTAAAGAAAAGACTCAACCCAAACTGCTGCACAGCCACATCAGGAGGAAAACAACAGTGAAGGAACAGGTAATGAAACTGAGGATAGGGGCAGAAAGATCCCTACTACAAAAGACAAGGAAGTGTGCGAGGAACTCACTAAAAAATTCTAGGAAGTCTTCACCTCAGAGCAAGGAGAAGTTACAGAGATAACGGAGGGAACATCAAACCAGACACAACTAAAGGAGTTTGTGATTACCAGTGGGGTGGTGAGGAAGCATCTGCTAGATGTGGGCGTGACAAAGGCTATAGGCCGGGATGGAATATCGCCATGGATTCTAAAGGAAGGAGCAGAGGCTCTGTGCCTACCACTCTCCATTGTGTACAACAAGTAACTGGTAACAGGTAACTTGTTGTCACCTGTTACCACGCCTCACCAGAGGAGAAACGTGGCTGACACTGAGAGGGGGAGGCTGACACTGAGAGGAGTAGCTAGCAGAGGGAGGGGGTGGCTGACAGTGAAAGTAGTGGCTGACAGTGAGAGTAGTAGCTGACTGTGAAAGAGGTGGCTGACAGTGGGAGTAGTGGCTGACAGTGGCTGACAGTGAGAGGGTGTTGCTGACAATGAGAGGGGTGGCTGACAGTGAAAGAGGTGGCTGACAGTGGGAGTAGTAGCTGACAGTGAGAGGGGTGGCTGACAGTGAGAGGGTGTTGCTGACAATGAGAGGGGTGGCTGACAGTGAAAGAGGTGGCTGACAGTGGGAGTAGTAGCTGACAGTGAGAGGGGTGGCTGACAGTGGGAGTAGTGGCTGACAGTGAGAGGGGTGGATGACAGTGAGAGGGTGTGGCTGACAATGAGAGGGCGGCTAACAGTGAAAGGGGTGGCTGACAGTGAGAGGGGGTGGTTGACAGTGAGAGGGTGTGGCTGACAATGAGAGGGCGGCTAACAGTGAAAGGGGTGGCTGACAGTGATAGTGGGTGGTTGACAGTGAGGGGGGTGGCTGACAGTGAGAGGGGTGGCTGACAGTGAGAGGGATGGCTGATAGGTGGAGGGGTAGCTGACAGTGAGAGGGGTGACTGACAGTGAAAGGGGTGGCTGACAGTGAAAGGGGTGGCTGACAGTGAGAGGGGGTGGTTGACAGTGAGAAAAGGTGGCTGACAGTGAGAGGGGGTGGCTTACAGTGAGAGGGGTGGCTGACAGTGAGAGGGTTGGTTGACAGTGAGAGGGGTGGATGACAGTGAGAGGGGTGGCTGATAGGTGGAGGGGTGACTGATAGCTGGAGGGGTGGCTGA